AGAGAGGCCTGAGATGGAAGTGCAAGATTTGGAAGTGTTGCAAGCTTTTGCTGCGTAAGACTTCACAATTCTTGCTTAATACTGCATTCTCTTAGTTGACAAGTAGTTTATTTACTGTATCATTGGAGGTTTGCCTGTTGTTGGATGGGGAGAAAGGACATAAGTATCCACTCAACTTTGTCTCTTCTTTTGTTCCTCTCCAAGATTAAGTGTGTGCTGTCTACTTTGCATTTTAATATTTGGATTTATTATATTAGGGGTCAAAGGATTATGAAGACTGATTATAAACAGTATTTAAAAACAGGTGGTAGTTGCATGTTGAAAGCGTTGGAGGTGTTGCTTGGTTTTCTTCTCACTTGAGCCTAATTACTACACAAGGAAAAATAATGCATAAATATCCATCTGTTGGATGGATGAGTGGTGTAGCTTAATTCAATAGTCTTTCAGTTATGCACTTTTTAATCTTGATGAGGTCAAGTAAATAAGTTCAGTTAGTAGAATACAGTCATATGCATTCCATATTTTTAGAATCCCATTTATTTTTAAGAATTTATAGTCTGCATTCCTAGCCTACAGGGTTCCCCCATTTTTGACTGTGCATGAGAGGAAGTATCTATATATCTAATTCCCAACATGCCCCCTCTGTGCGGATATCTAAATCAGTACATCGGGGGCACTTGAGGGGCAGGGAGGTTTTTGGGGCAACCCCCATATGTGCAGAAAAATCTGAAAACTTGGAAAAAATATGGGGGGGGATATTTAAATCCCCCCAAAAGTAAAAGAGCGTTTCCGGCGCAGAGAATGCTCTGAGAACAGCTTCGCCACCGCCGCCAGGGAGGGCGAGGGGGCAGGAGAAGGCTTGGCCAGCCGGCAGCTGTAAGCCACTCAGGCCTCGCCGCCACCCGGGGGAGTAGAAGGTTTGGCGGGCCGAGCTCAGGTCTCACTGCCAGCGCTGCTGCTGGGGGGGGAGGGGAGAGGGAGAAAGCTTGGCAGGCCGGCCAACCCTTGCTGCCACCAGGGGGAGGGAGGGAGAAAGTTCTGTGGGCTGGCTAGGCTTCGCCACCGCTGCTAGGGAAGGGGGGGAGGGAGAAAACTTGGCGGGCTGAGTTCAGGCCTCGCCGCTGGTGCTGGGGGGGAGAGAGAAGGCTTGGAGGGGTGCAGGCCTCACCGTGGGTGCCGGAGACGGGGGGGGGGCAAGGGAGAAGGCTCACCTGCGGCTGCTTCCTTCTCCTCCGGTGGAGCTCCCCCCCCGCGAGTATCGCAGGTCCCCCTTTTTGTCTCCTATAATAGGGACAGCCAAACAATGGCACTGTTAGTGCCTTTTCCATCCCCAAATGTAGAAGTGCTGTGTTCTGCATCGGTAGTTGTATTTTCAGTCTGAAACTTTACCAAACTTTATTTCTTTATTGTTAGAGCTTTTCCAGACCAATGCCCCCTTGGGTCCACAAACTCATCCCCAGTGCCCCTACTCTATAAGAAGTTCATTCAGATTAGCGGTTTGCACAACCTACTAAGGAAGATAACAATAAAATTCAAAACAGTAACAATTAATAGCACATTTATTCAAAATTTAGTTAAAACATTTTAGTTTAATTTATTCAACAAAATTAATGAACTAGATCTAATGATCCCAGCTTTTCAAGTCTGAAAAAAAAATTCAGTAGTTTCCACCAGATTTCAGCGCTATGTAGAGGCAGAAACTTGGAGTGCCATTTGCCAGCATGGTGCCATAGCCCGATCAATTGTAAATAAGTGAACAACACAGTCAAAGGGGCCCACCTCCAGCACCATACCCTTGCCACTTAGCACCCCGTAGGTAATCCCCCCCCAGGGGGCAGTACCCCCTCTTGGGGAACCACTGTTGTAGAATTATAAACCTATGTTTATATTCTAGCAACTGCTCTTTATTTTTAGTCCATCAAAACCCTCCATTTTTAAACTTTCTTCCCCTGCTTGTTTCCAAACTGAATTTGTAAGGATGGTGTAGGATAACATCTGCATCTTAAGAGCATGGATGTGGTATAAACTTGTAGTGGAATTATAAGAAATAGCCTTTCTAACAGCAATCTGTGTCTGCACTGTACTATAGAATCACCTTACTTTTCCATTTTTCAAAGGTTTTTGGTTTGTTCAAAGAAGTGTTTCTGCCACAGGCTTAAAAAGGCAGTCAGCATTATATCTATTGATTTCAACGGGTATGGGTTTGAAGTTAGTCCTACAGAGTGTCATTTTGGATGAAAATCTGGCAGCTGCATTCTTGGGAGCAAAATCCAATGAATGTGGTGATTTGGGTTACTTGAACACCTGCTGGTTTGTCTCACATTCTGTTCACAACCAGGAGCCAATTTTTCAGTGATCGATTCTACTGTTCATCTACAATTTCTTGGCTGTTTGGCAGGTTGCTTCAGTATATTTTTTCCTAACCATGCAGTGTAGCTCAGTCAGCTTTCTGTGCATTCCCACACAGCCCAATTTGAATTTTATCCCCACATACTTGCTGCATCACTGCTCCCATCAGCAGGCAGTTGTTTAAATGCTGTGTTCCAATAAAATTCAACCCCTTGGTGTTCATTTAAGTAGACCCCAGTGATGATACTATCTAATTATTGGGTTGAATTCAGCATGTCTTTGCACATGCTCAGTTTTGCAAGACAAACAAAACAAAACCAACCGCAAAACTCTTTGGCAGGCATTTGTATGTATTAGACATGAATATTAGACAAACAAAACTGAGTGATTAGATCATGTCTGATCAATGGTTTTGAACCTAGTACATTTGACTGTCAAACACATTTGTGACAAAATTTGTCGCATCCTCACTATTGAATAAATAGGTATAGTATTTTTGGCCTAGAAATGTATGTGGAATGTGGAATGGACTTTTGGTATGTTTAGGAAGCATGTGTGTTAACAAACAACTTGAAATAGTTATGGGGATTTTTTCTCTTACTTTTGTGATTCTTTGACCTTCAACGAGTCATTTCTTGTGTATTAGTTTGGTTATTAAAAATCTGAAAGGAAAGACTTAAAATGGGTGCTAGTCATCTCAGTGTATGATTCTTGCGCCGTGGCAAAAATAGTCAGGATTGTTGTAGTACATTGAATGCAGTTTGGTAATGCTGTTTATATCTACTGCAGAGAGTTCTAAGGATGTGTCATACCCTGTCTGGGGAAGACCATTGGTGCAGTCCAAAGAAGGGCAGCAGCACAACTCAGCAAAAGGAAGGACAAGGTGGACCCTCAGGTGATTAAGGAACAGGCAGGGGGAATAGAGGCCAGCACTAGCTTCCTCTAGAGGAAAGGCTGATTCAAGAATAAGGTAGGGTATCAGGAACTGGGTGTGGTTCAGAGGAAGTAGATAATTCTCCAGCAAGAGGAAGTGGGGAAAGTGTCAGCTGGCTGGCATGGTCAGAAAGCTGGGAAGGAGAGCAGCCGGCAAGGCCTGGGGTCTCTGCAGTCTGAAGGAACCGGACTCTCTGGGAACTAGGGAGGTGGCATTCCTAGCCAAGAATACAGCAGGCTACATCACTTTTAACACTCGTGTGTTAGCCACCTCAGAGCATAACTTTGAAGTAAGTGTACGGCAGCTGAAGGTGACACTAAGGTAACCTGGGAGCAGCCTTAGAACCATGGTTGAAGCAGGTGCAGGTAATGGCTGGTGAGTGGGCCTGCTGGCTGGGTTGGGGCTATAAAGCTCTGGAGCTTGCTTTTGTCTGATCCCAGCAATTCTGTGATGTTGGATTGTTTTTGGTGAGGCTGCTGGAAGATGGGATGCATCGGTGAGCAAGCAGGCCCTAGCTCCAGGGGCTTGATTGGATGCCACAAGCTTTTACAGGCTGTTTTACATATAGCAGACATTCATGCAGCTTAGTTGTTGAATTTAGTAGATGGAGTGCTCAAAATTGAGTTGGCACTTTTGGTGATCAAAGGATGCTGTGAAACTTTCCACACAGCAGTCTGTTTATATGAAGGTTGCTTATGCGATGAGATGACAATACTTTAATTTTAGCCTTCAAATCTGAAATATAGGGAGAATGCAACAAGAGAGCACTTGGAAGGAATCTAGATGAGGTTTTCTATCCTTCTCTTCCTTATGATTTACAGATAAAGAGCACTTTAGGATAATGTGCATGTAATGCATGAGTATTTAAAACATTTCTGTACTGCCTTCTAACCAAGATTCTGAGGCAAGTACAGAATTATTTTCTCTAGACCACTGTCTTGTTGAAACTGTCTCTGCCCTGTATGTGTCTCTACCCTTGGTTTCTTCTTGGATCTGGTAAAAATAATAAACATCAACCAAGAATTGTGAAATTCATTCATGCTTACTGTGTTACTGTCAGAAGTTTCTTTTATAAACAACCAGATATATTCCTCATTTTTACTGTAGTCATAAATCACAAGTCAAATTGTATTGACTGTTGCATTTATTGAAATGAGCTGCATTTGGTTATTTATACTAGGCTAGATCCCATAAAATACCCAATCAAAAAGCACTCATAGAGAAGAATCTACCCCCCTTCATCACATCCTTTCCTAGTATCCCAAGAACTCTGAAAAGCTGATATTGAAAGTCCCAGGACTTGCTTGAACAAAAAGCAATGCGGCCATATGGGGGAAAGCTGCTGTTAGGTGGCAATTTTGTTTCAGTGACTGTACTCTGGACAGCATGGCTGCATTGATCTCTAGCATCAGCTCTTTAGAAGTCTAGGGAAGGTTGTTGCAGGAAGGGGGAAATATCCATATCCACAACCGCTATTGAAATTTTATATAAGATGTATCCTTTCCTTGCTTTTTTCCAAAAGCTGCTTATTGCTCGTTTTAAACAAATGCACTGACAATGAGTAAGTTTAATTGACTGTGGCTCTAATGGTTGGGTGCTGTTTGCTATACTGCAACTTTTATTGTCTTGTACATTGCTGTTAAATTACTGTATTGCCCTTCAAAAGTGGTGGTTATATCAAGTATTCAGTTAATTTTCTTCCCTTACAGTTTGCAGGATGGAAGAACTTTGAGTGAAAGACAGATGAGCTCTGCTTCAGCATGGATGCTATTATGGTTGACGGGGAGCCTGATAAAGCTTCAGTGAGTAATTTATGTACATACCAATTTCATCAGCAAAGGAATCTGGAGCAAGGGACACTTTCCTCCAATCCCCCGTTCTAAGGAAGAAAAGTTACAGGGCCTAGTAAGGGTCTTCTGTTTCTTCCTTTTTGTAAAGGAAAGTTAAATAGTATCTGTGTTATAAACACTTCCGTTTTTAAATTTAAGACTATGGCAATATTATATTACTATCCTAAAGATACCTGATTTATGTGACAAAATGACATTTTAGTTAAGGAAAATACAATGTACTCTCTTCAAAGAACTATAATGGCTGTCCAGATTCAGAAAAGCATTCAGTGTCAGAAATAAAACGGCAACTGTAAAATTGCAGATGTGAAATTCTTACAGTGAACGTGTCATGGGGTTTTATTTTTGTAACATTTCTGGTCTTAAAGGCAAAATGCATGTTATGAAACCCAGTTGCATTAAAACAGTTGGAATTTTTGGTGCTATTGCATACATTTATTTGGAGAAGAGAAGCAATTTGAAGCAACTTTCTTGGAGAAGAAAGAAAGCCACTAGAGTTGTTTGTTGTATGCACTTGCACATAATAACTAAGCATTAAGAAAAGAAAATTTTTACTTTGAGGTAGGAAGAACTGTAAGTGAGAATGGTGCTGGTCTGTTTTTTAGCATGATTATTAGAATATGGGAACCAAGCATCTGATGTTTTCAGGAAGTTGGTGATAGTATGCCTTTCCATTTTCAATAATTTAAAATGAGTATTCTGTGAATTTTTTTCATAAATCAATATATTTTTATATTTGAAAAAGCTGAGTTTGAATGTTAACTTATATGTGACTGTTATTTTATATCTGTTGAATTGAAAGGCCTGATGAATAAAATACAGTGACTTTTACTAAACCATGGCACCTTGGAACCCAGCTACAGTTTTTAAAAGGAGACATATCAGGATTAGAATTTATTCAAAGAATTGTGCCACTATGGAGCTATGGTGCAAAAATTCTTATGGTTTGACTTGAAATTTTTTGTGAAGTTCAGTAAATTGAAGTATATATACAGGGTATACACACACACACACACACAAGGTAATTGCTAGTGTTAATATCTTCTAGTCAAGTGACTAAGGATTTCTGTAAAGGAATATTTGATGTAGATAAGAAAATAAGGAAATTTGTTATTCAGCGTATTCTTAAAACTGTACTCATGCAAATGAGGACATAAAAATTAATTGGCTGTAGTATAAATTTGCATAGCTTCTTGTTGGAAAAGTGCTGTGTGTTTGTCATTAATACATTGTTACAGGTTTATCCAGAAAATACCTTGATGATTAAATTAATATCACAGATGAATTAAGGAAGAAAATTGTCAGATAATTTGACTGTTCTTCCCCCAAATGTAATGGTTTTGCTGAAATCTCTGCACAGTATTACTGCTGAGGTATAAGAAGCTTTCGTGGCAATGATTCATATGCATGTGTAAAGAAACCTGGGTAGTACTGTCTCCTCCCTATGTTTTACCAAACATAAGACATTTAAAAAGACAATTTGGGGTGTGCCACCTTCTAAATATTTTGGTTATTTCTCCTCTGTGCCCCCCTTCTTTTCTGCAGCCAGATTTCGTTTTCTGTTTCCTTTCCCTTGGTCATTCAAGATTGCCTATGCTTAGGGTAGGGGCAAATCAATCCATTAGAACAGTGCTCCTTTCCTTGAAGTAATAGCAACTTTTCTCAGGGTACTGTAAAAGTGTAAATGTATATGTCTGACTGCACCCCATAGTAGTTATGAACATAAGAAAAGCCCTGCTGCATCAGACCAGTATTCTATCTAGTCCAGCATCCTGTCTCACACAGCGGCCAACCAATCCTCTGGACAGCCAACAACAGGGCACAGAGGCTGAGGCCTTCCCCTGATGTTACATCTTGGCTCTGGAATTCAAAGGATTAGTGCCTCTGAATGTGGAGGTTCTCCTTAGTCACCATGGCTAGTAGCCATTGACAGACTTATCCTCCATGAATCTATCTAATCCTTCTTTAAAGCTGTTTATTTCTGTGGCCATCACTACATCCTCTGGCAGCAAATTCCACATTTTAATCACTCTCTGTGTAAAGAGTATTTCCTTTTATCCATCCTGAACCTACTGCCCATCAGCTTCTTTGGATGCCCTCAAGTTCTAGTATTTTAGGGGAGGGAGAAAAATGTCTGTTTGTCAACTCCACCCCATCCATAATTGTATAAATCTCTATATCATGTCCTCCCTTAGTCATCTCTTTTCTAAACTGAAAAAAACCAGCTTCTCCAGTCTTTCCTCATAGGGAAGGTGCTCGAAACCCCGAATCAGTTTGGTTGCCTTCCTGTGTACTTGTTCCAGCTCTGCAATGTCCTTTTTGAGATACGGTGATCAGAACAATTGTGACAGACTGCACTATTAAAAGCTTGGAAGTGTTGTATAAACCGATAAAGGACTGTGAAGGGTTAATTCTTCACTGAAGCCGAAAACTATGCACATTATTCCAAATGTGGCCATACCATAGATCTATACAGAGAGGCACTACAATATTGGCCATTTTATTCTCAATCCCGTTCCTAAGAATCCCTAACATAAAGGTTGCCTTTTTCACTGCTGCAGCCCACTGGGTTGACATGTTCATTATGTTGTTCACTACAACCCAAAGATCTTTTTCTCTCTAAGTCTCAGCAAGTTCAGACCCCATTGGCCTATACTTGAAGTTGGGATTTGTTGTCCCAATGTGCATCACTTTACAGTTACCAACATTGAACTTCATTTGCCACATTGTCACCCAATCCCCCAGTTTGTGGAGGTTCTCTTGGAGCTCTTCATAATCAGTCTTGGTTTTCACTTTCCTGAAGAATTTTATGTCATCTGCAACCTTGGCTACCACTGTACTCACTCCTAGTTCAGATCATTTATGACTAAATTAAATAATAGCAGCCCCAGTACTGATCCTTGTTAGACCCTACTGCTTACTTCCCTCCATTGTGAGAGCTGTCCATTTATTCCTACTCTTTGCTTCCTGTCATTTAACGAGCTTTTAATCCATAGGAGAACCTGTCCTTTTATCCCATGACTGCTATGTTTACTCAGGAGCCTGCGTTTTCTTGAGTGGATTAAAACAACAGCTCTGTAGCTACCATGCTAAACTATGGTCTGTGCTAATCATAGTTTATAGTCCAATTTTTATTCTTTTTTTATTCTGGAATGTACGACAAGTAAGCCTTGGTTTAGAGCTGCTAGTCTGCTTTTGTTTTCTGTTCCTTCTGCTTTCAGCTTTGTAAATTCTAATTTCATGCTGCAGCTTCTCTAGATCCAGCATTCACATGCTGCTTTGTAAATCCCAATATTGTGTTGTTAGGACTGCAAACCCCCTTAAAACCATGATTTGTTAATATCCTGGCTTGAATTGGCAATGTGTTGAGCCACAGTGTTGAAATTACAGAATGGATTTCATTGACTTATTTCTGTTGCTGATAATACATGCTTACCTTTAATTGAAGACCACCCTCACTTCCAGCCACTCCTTGTTTTCTGTTCCCTGACTATGTTAGGGATTTAAATGTGATCATGACTTCACATTTTGATATGCTAATTGAAAATCTATGACACAGACTAATTTTGTTGTCATTACTGATACTCTTGAAATTTCTTAGACATTTGTGACTAAAATACATACGTGCGATCAAGGCTCAGTACTGTGGATACTGCATGTAGGCAAAATAGAGAGGAACTTGCATGAGTTCAAAGGAAGACATGGCACCAGATTTATAACTGAGTGAAAAATAGTCTTCATTGACTTTGGAAGGGAATTTAAAAATAGACCAATGAATGATTTACTGCAAGTAATGTATTACGTCTGTACAAAAGATCAAGTTGGTATAAGTTCAGATGGAAAAGTACTGCTCCAGTGTCTATATTCTGGTATTGCTAACACAAAGCTATTAAGAATTTCTTCTGAAGCCTTTCTAAAAGAGGAACAAAGGAATATGAGATGTTTTCTTTTCTCACTGTCAGATAACCTCTTTTGTACTGTGCAACTTGTGACCCACCCAGCCAATTGCAGCTTCAGGGCAGCCCACCATGGGCTCAGTATATCTCTTATTCTTTCTGTTAGTCAGGTGGTTTGGCTTGATGGTTTGCAAGTTATAAAGACCTGCTCTGTTATGTGTTAGAAAAATAGATAAGCAGTGCATACAGTTTTTCTTAGTTCTCGCACTTGGTAGATAGATATTGCCCCAGCAATTTTCATGGAAAGCTGTTATTCAGGGGATGCTAGATTGGGGGAAGGTTTGGTGTTCCGTTTTCTGTGTTGGGCCTCTCCCACTGATATGAAGGAAAGTGCTTTGCATTCAGGAGGTCTACTAGCAGGGCCAGAACTCCAGAAGCCCTCCCACTGTTGTCCCTCAAGCACCAAGAATACAGAGCATCACTGTCCCAGACATAGTGTTCCAGCTATACCTTGTGGCTAATAGCCACTGATGGACCTCTGCTCCATATGTTTATCTAATCCCCTCTTGAAGCTGTCCATGCTTGTAGCTGCCACCACTTCTTGCGGCAGTATATGCCATGTGTTAATTACTCTTTGGGTGAACAAGTACTTCCTTTTATCTGTTCTAAGCCTAGTGCTCATTAATTTCATTTAGTGCCCACAAGTTCTTGTATTAAAGAGAGAAAAGTACTTCTTTCTCTGCATTCTCTATCCCATGCATAATTTTGTAAACCTCTATCATGCCACCCCTCATAATTTCTCCAGGCTAAAGAGCCCTAACCTCTTTAACCTTTCTTCGTAGGGGAAGTTGTTCCATGCCCTTAGTCATTTTAGTTGCCCTTTTCTGTACTTTTTCCAATGCTATATTTCCAATGATATAAATAATATATTATTTTGAGGGGCAGTGACCCACACTGTACACAGTATTCCAAATGAGGCTGCACCATAGATTTATACAGGGGCATTATGATCCTGGCTGATTTGTTTTCAGTCCCCTTCCTAATAATCTCCAGCAT